GACTGTCCGCTCGAAATACATCCTGTCTCTAGAGACAGGGGACATACTGTTTGTGTGATTCAGTAATTCTTCGCGTTATTTTCTGTGTTTGCTTTTTATCATTGTAAACTGATATATTGTCTGTCGAGCTCCCCTTTGCTATGGAGAAATTCATGGGTGCGGGAAGAGAGAAACGGTTATATAGTGCAGATATAGAGAGGGAAACGTAATGGCTCGGACCAATGGTGCAAGTTTCACTTTGCGAAGTAAATGGAAACGTGATTACTCGACTATAACGAAGAGTTATGCTTTCTTTATTTTTAGATGTGAATGCATTCGGCAGTGAAACATTCGCTTTCCCGCGCTAATCTGCATGAATGCACATATCCATAAATGAATTTGATAGAGTGGCCGCGCGATTGTCATAGTAGTTTGTTTTTCGTTCAGTGTCGGACATTTTTGGTTAGAAGTTGATTTACATTAACATTGGAAAAAAGATTCCGTGTAATTCTTATCACAAATAAAATTTTTTTAACAACAATACTAATAATAAGAGATATACTAATTTAATTTTGTAAAAAAAAGATAAACGGAATATATTGAAAATATATTTTTTCACAGTAACATAAAATTATATGTCAGTATTATAAAATATAAATTATCTACAATTCATATAACACTTAAATTAAGTTGTAAACAGATATCTAGAGAGATAAATAGATATATGTACATACAGTATATATAGATTGATAGATATATACGCATATATGAATATGTAAAAATAAATATATATTAAATTCATATTTAAAATGTGTAAACAATTTACTTATTAATGTAACGTTTTCAGTTTTCACTTTTTACAGATAATCTTCGCCCTTTCTCTCTTTCTCTCTCTCTCTCTCTCTCTCTCTCTCTCTCTCAAATAAACTATTTAAAACACATTTGATGACAAATACAAATTTAATTCAAGTATATGTTATATAAAATGCAGGAAATTTTGATACAATTTTATAGTACACAGATATACCTTTCATATATTATTGTAAAAAAATATATTTCCGAAACCACACATTCTACGTACATTTTACACAAAAAAATAATTTTGTACAAAAAAGGTTAATTTTACTATATCTTTCTATCTCTATTAAATAAATACTTTTTTATTTCAATTAAAACAAATTGTAAATAAGAAATATAAAAACATCTTTTTTCTTTCTCTTTTTATATCTTGTTTTGATCAATTAATAAAAACTTTTTCCTGGCAAATCGTTGGTCTATCATCATTGAGATATTGTATTGACATGTACTTTGCCTTAATGTTTGAGCCTGAACCCTCTTGAGTATCGTGTAAGTGTTTGCGTACGACACTGTGATATACATATGGCGTGACACGTGCGCCAATGCTAAACTCGTGTCACATGACAAACAACGAATTAAGTCTTACCAGCCGTCACATTTTAAAGCCAAATTAAATTTTCGATAGTTTGCGATTTAAGATAGAATTTATGAACGAGTTATGTGACGAGATCATTTTGCAAAATTATTGCTAAATGAATATTTTTATTAAATATATATATATATATATTTGAAACAAAAATAAGAAATCTACTCTTCGCAAAAGTTTAATGAAAGAAAAACATAATTTCCCACTAAAAATACTTATACGATCATACATATATACATTTTGATATAAAAACAATAGAATCATTTAAAAGTAAAGGTTGAAATAAGCTGTACTTACTTCAATTAAATAAGAAGTATAGATTTTATACAGATTGTACAGATAACTTTTACCGAAAACGTTGAAAAGCAACTTTCTGGAGCAATCATTCGACGTTGTCTTCAAGACCATTTGAGACTCGGGTCGTTTGAATCTGCATAGCGATGAAGACGTTCACCCTATCGGTGAAATGTAATTTGTGTTCCTCTTCAGTTAATTACGCGAGGGAGGCATTGATATCGATGGAAGGAGCGAGGCAAGGTGAGACAATGTTTAAAGGGCAACGGTGTAATCCGAAGAAAGGTGTCGAAGCACATCGCGGCGTTGCTGGTAAAGTGGGTGTAAATGAACGACGGAGGTAGGTGGCTACCGAGACGGTACTAGAGATGTGGTCGTACCACACACCGACAGTCGCCTTAGCAAAAGCTGGTATGATCTGGCACGGAAGACAGGGGAGTCTGTCTGTCTTTATCAGTCGAGTAGGCAGGTAGAGCCGTCGAGCCATCGCGCCACCCCTATTCCCTTTACCCCTCCTCTCCTTTCAACCCTCACCATTCTTCTTGCCGAGAGTTACGCCAACAGCGAGAACACCCGATTGGCGTTTCTCTCTCGAATGAGGGAGGACATCACGCATCGCTATTGGCTCTCAGCGAATCCATACTAGGTATTTATTCGCCATCCCATTCGTCGATCTGTTGCGGGGTCGAAATCCATCTGCCCCTTTCTTCTCGCGAATCTTCTCTCTCCTACGTTCTTCTCGTTCAACACTCCTTGTAAGCGGCCGATACAACTCACGAGACGCCTTTACAATGAATTTCACCGCCAGCTCTTTTATTTTTTGCCTCGAATATTTCTAAATAAATACTTTTTTAATAAGCGTTCAAAATCGTATGAGTGTATAATGTGTAGTATAACAAATACCGTAACTACAGCAACGTCTAATATGTATTTTTACAGAAGAAAATTAGATTTCCACGTTCATCTAGGTGCCAACTGTTTTTCCCATATTTACTGCATTCATCTGGCGTCTTAATTTTCTGTTACTATTGGCAAATGGATGTACAAATATCATTCTAAAGCAAAATATAAAAATTATAATGCGTAATCCAACGCAATTGTGTTAATTATAAAATGTAAAACTCGTTATATTTTCTTTTTAAATCAAATTGTTTTGTAATAGTGCTGATATGTCTTGTAATGATATACAATTTTATACAATATGTATAGATATGAGTTTCATCCAATATTAATGTAAGAGGAGAGAGAGAGAGAGAGAGAGAGAGAGAGAAAGAGAGAGAGAGAATATTATTTATAACGGATTGGTAAACTTTAATTGTTTAAAAAGAATTATAAACTTGAAAAAGATATTTAGTATCTTAATTAATATTTTCGAAAATATTTTTAAAGAAATATAAAGATGCAATGATAAATAATATAAGAATTTAGGTAAAAGTATAAAAAGATATAAATAATCAAATGATATAAATAATCTAATATATAATGTAATATGAAAGACATTTTTATAAAAAATTAAATTCAATAATATCTGAAAAATATAACTGTTTCAAAGACAATTTACGAATTGTAGACAAAAATTATGAGAGAGAGAGAGAGAGAGAAGAGAATGTTCTTCTTTTCAATAAACAAGCAAATAAACAAGAAAGAATGATTTCAAAAATTTAAAGTGGTTATAAACGAATGAAAAAACTTTTATCTATATTATATGTAATATTGATTTCAATATAATGTTTATGTTTTTTGAAGGTAAAAAAATTCAGAATAAAAAATAGCTTTTAAGATTTATACATAAATATTTTTTGTAATACTATGAAATATATTTTTATTTGAAAAATAATGAATCTTTTTTTAAAATTTATTATTTATCAGGAATTTATCAAATTAATTAGGTGGTTTAATTGATTTGACATAATCAAAGAAAAAAAAACCTATTAAACCTATTGAAAATCAAAATGTAAATACCATAGACAAATAACAGTTTCTTTAAGAAGTACAAGTAGTCTGTTTTTTCACTGTTGTTTAAAGATCCAAATAAAAGCATGGTCACATCACAAGTTCTAAAAATATATGACGTATAAATATATGACGTTATGATGTATGAAAATATCAATATAAATTTGGCTTTTAAAGTGATATTGGTTGACGAATTAGTCCGAGAAGAAGTAGACGCCTCTCACTCCGAAAAGCGATCGATGCAAAGTGTCAAACTTGAAATCGAGGAGAGCGAGTCTTCGTCTGCACTTTCGATGTCGGTCGCACCTCGCCCTATCTACCACGAATTCGAGCAACTGCGTGGCAGACAGAAACGAAATAGCTACACCGCGACATCCTGATGGGCAAAAGTGGGAAAGAGAGAATGGGGGGTCGAGAAACGCGGGGATGAAAAATTTTATGGGATTACGCCAGTCGAGCAACGAGGATGGGCCATCGTATCGCCCCGCCCATCGTACCGCCCACGCTAGTGGCGGTTGCTGCTAAGCTTGTTCTGTTCCCTCACCCCTTACCCTTTGCAGCGCAGCTGGAACCTTCTCGCGGCTCGCTAGCAAGCAGCGCATACACGTCACCCTCACCAACGGCGAACGGCGCTTTCAATCGTCACCTTGGGTCGCCGTTGCGATCTATCCACGATCCATCCCATCGGAAATCGTCAGATTCATCGATTTCAAACTGTTATTGGAAATATTTTCGGAAGTGATCTAAGTCGTGATCGAATGTGACGTTGATCGGAAATTAGTGAATAAATTGGGAACTGTTTTAAGATTAAGAACTTTTCGATGAAATTTAAATTGAATTGAACAGAAAGATCGAGCAAGAGCTAAGGAAGAATCAATCTTGAAATCGATTAGTGTAACAAATATTTCAATCCAAGGATGACTGATTTCAATAATATCGCTCTTGATGTAGAATCATACTTCGAGATTGAACTTTCAGATTACAGTTAATTACTTCATTGCAAAGAATTGAAATTTATATTTCAATGAATACAAAAAATTTAAAAATGAAACGCAAGGACTAATTTAATAAACGTGTTGGACGTTGTGATTATAAACATAAAATGTGTGAAACAATTAGAAGATTGAAACGACAGATGTTGATGATGCCATCGATCAGTCAGGATTATGTAAAGTTAATTACTGAAGTGTCGAGCATCAAATTATCGCTAAAAATTTATTTTTTCGATGAAGATGAAGCCCTTTAAAGTTGATTATATCAATTCGCGTCGTGATGCACGTGATTTGAAATTATTTGCAATAAATGTAATTTGCATTGTTAAAGACTGTATAGAACGCATACCATGACTAATGAGAATGAATTTTTTGTATAAATCTTAAATATATTCGATGTAAAATTTTTAGTAATTAATCAGAAGTGAAAGTGTTCGGCTGATAGAAGGAAAAAGTTGTGTTGTGAGCTGTGTTGCTGGGATCCTTATAAACGGCAACATTTTTACAATTTCTGTAAGTATCAACGGTTAAGAAAAAGTTATTATCTTAACTTAAAAACTATCAATGAACTGAATTTTAATGGTTAATCTCTATTTTCTTATACTCTATTTTCTACATATATATTTTTTATATAGCGTTTCTCAACTTATATCTCAAATTTATAGATATTTTTTAAGTAATAACTTATATATGATTAACATTGCAAAGCATTGTCATTTATATTATGAATTTCATTAAAATTAAGTTATATTATTCAGATTTATATAAATTATGAATAATTTAAAATTAATAATTGAATGAAATGTTTGATTTTTAAAACTGTCGTTTTTTATTTTTAAATCTTTCATTATTCGTTTATCATACGAATTTTTCTGATACTGTTCTACTGTTACTTGAACAAGCAATTGTATGTATGTACATACAATATATTTATAAATAAATAAATAAATATACGCACTTATATTTAATTATAAATACAAATTTATATATATTAGGTGTTGGAATTAATTCGTAGCGTTTTACAATATATATATATATATATATATATATTTAATATACATATTATTATGTTCAAGTACATAAATAATTAAAGTAATAGATACATATATGACGGGACAATAAAGTTTAGTGAATGTTATGAGAAAATAAACAACATTTAATCAATGTATGATTTAATAAATGACCTTTATTGTCCTTCAAAGTAATCGCCTTTCCTAGGGATAATACGCTTTTGCCTACGTTCGTACAGCTTGCGGAAACTCTGTGAAAAATCATCCTTTAAGTCTTGTTGTCACGTAATCTCAGAACACAGAAGTTATAACAATATCATAACAGCATCATCATGACTTCATTTGTTATAAGTTCATTTTTAAATTCATTTGTATGTATTAAATGACACCATGATGACGTCCTATGATTAAATTCATTATGACTTAATTATTAATTCTATATTCTACCTGGGATTCTGATTAAAAATATGTACGGCAATTCTTGAATCAGCGTTACATCATCGTTTTGAACTCCATTTCCCGATTTTCCAGCAGGCTTCCTTTTGTTCCTTAAACTAAAGGATAGGATGAAAAGAATTCGATTTACAATAACATTTTGAACATTCAGAATCGTGAAGGAATTTTTTCACTGAATTTCTATGAGTTGTAAGAATATTGTCAGAGATATTATATTATCTTTGAAGAGGTTTACTTTAAAGGACAATAAAGCTTATTTGTATTGTATATTAATTAAGTGATGTTCATTTTTTCATAATATTTACTTTATTGCCGCACTTCTATACATAACTTTGTGATATAAAGTAATAATATATTTAATAGCATTTCCCACTAAGAAAACTAATGCAACTGATGCAATTGAGCGCAAATCGGTTTACATATTTTAAGTATTAATAAAGAATTCGATTTAACATTATGAAATTATCGAGACAATAAAGAATAAAGAAATTAAAAGGATTAAATTATTTATTAATACTAAAAATATGTAAATTGATTTGCATTCAATTGCACACAGTATGCACGAGTATTAGTTTTCTCAGTGAAAAAAATGCATAATGCACTATAAGTCGCATGCACTAAATGCGTGTCATATAATAAAAGAACTACTATTATTATTGTCGCTGTTATTATAAAGTTGAGCTAATAATCATATATAATTGTAAGTGTAATGGTTTTTATGTGATGAATATGTCTAAGAGTCAATTTTGATCAACTCCGATTAACTTTAATCGATGGTTACATATAATATATTACTATTAAATGCTATTAAATATATTAGTCCATTGGCCAATCGCATCTATCGTTAAGCGAAATGACAAATGCGATTGGTCAAGTCCAATGGACTAATCGTCGATCAAAGATAACCGGAATTGGTTGAAGTAGTCCTATAATACAATAATAAATCTATTGTGATAGAGAGAGAGAGAGAGTATAAGTGAGTGTAACGTATTCGCGTATTTAAAATAACACAGAAGTCCATTAATTGAAATATAGATTATAAAATCAAAAGCTTGATGTAATTAACCGGATTTCATAACGAAAACGAAGATATATATATTTTCATTTAAAGGATATTAAAATGTCCGTCGCTTTACGTCAGGATCTCGTCACGTTAAAAATAGAATCTATTGCTTGCAATAATCAAATATGTTCAAAGAAAATGCAAATCCTAAAATATCAACAATAACAAGCAACTATAAGCTAAATTATTTTCTATACTAAGAAAAAATATCTTAAATTTAAACAAATATTTATTTAAATAGTTTAACTAAACATTTATTCAGTAAATAAATATTTACTTAATAAAAAAAAAAAAGATTATTAAATCAAATTATCGTTTTTTGAATCAAATGAATATATTTTTTTATTTAATGCATTTAGTTGGCATTACTTATTCATACAAATAATTTGTTAAGATTTAGTATTTTCCCAGTATAATATTGATCGGGTTGTCCAAAAAGTTGGTACGGTTTCTTTCAGTTTAAAATTATACACAGAATATTTGTTGTGAAACTTTCAATAACCTCTCACGAAAGCTTGAAGTTTTCTCTACAAAATCGTTCTCCAAAATATTTCTACTACTTTTTCTTCTTGAGTAATTCATGAATTAAGTAAAAAGGAGCATTGTGAATTGGATCGTTCATAACTCTATTAAAAATCATTGTACCGCAATTAAAGGAACAGATTCTTAAAGCTGAAACTTTTCTCGAATAGTATAATTGCAAATGTTATTAAAAAATAGGATATATAAATTTAAGCTAAAAATATGATATTATTTTCCTTGTAATAATCATTACGCAATGTTTAGAAAGATGTTTAGTAATCTCACATTATTATATATTCTACATTAAAAAAATTAGTAATTGAACGATTCAAGTCCCAATGCTCTTTTTTACTTAACTTGCGAATATCCTAAAAACAAAAAGTCATAGGAACATTTTAAAAAAAGGATTTTAAGGAAAACTTCAAGCTTTTCACGAAAAGTACTCCAAAATTCGCAAATTCTTTTTGAACATATGACAAATCTACAAAGTGAGAAGAAAATTTTTCATCCTTTTCAGCTCTCGTAGTTAGTTTTTTAAATATAAAGATTACCAAACTCACTGAGACTCAAAAAATATAATAATCTTTCGAAGAAGTAGAGATTTCGAGCTTTATAAAACGCTTTTTTTAAATTTAAATTTCATTCATTTTTAACGGAGATATTGTATATATAATTTTTTGTGAGCTAAAAGAACGGTATGAACTGTTTGAACAACCCGATAAAAAAGGCTGACTTTTAATTTTAATTCTTTTTGTAAAGTGGAACAAGGAAATATAAAAGCTTAAGGTAAAATAAATATTAAAAAGTCACTGCACAAATCGCTACAGAGATATCATATTTGTACCTTAATTTTTTACGTAAATATACCTACGTCTTTCGCGTTGAATAACAAAATAAATATTTTAAAATTTAAAATAAAAATATCCTAGGCTCAAAGAAATAAAAATTCAAATTAATAAAAGGGCAGAATAAGCCTCGCAAAGATGGATGAAATAATTGTTTCTAGTAACATAAAAGAAACCATTAAGATTTCGGGAGATAAAGAAAGAAATAAAAACTTTATCAAAAACGTCAAGTTTAAATTACATTTATAATATGGAAATTAGTAACTCTATAATATTACTTCTCTCTTTCTCCCTCTCTTTCTCTTTCTTGGATTATACGATATAATTTTTATTTTGCATCTTACAATATTGTATACTACATTGTACAGTATTGTAATTATAATAGGACATGTTTTATTACTTTATTTTTATTATTCATACATAATAGCTAACTTTATTAGACTCAAATTTAACAGCATTGTCTCAATAAGCACCAGGAGAATATTGATGCGAACAATAACCCACGTCGATTATTTGCGCTGTAAAAATATAACAATCTATATTTTCATATTTTCCTCTTGTACGATTTAGACGTATGTTGTATTAGTGATAAAACCATTTAGCATTCGAAAACATTTCGACGATTATCATGGAGGGACATAACGATTTACGTAGCTAAAATAGCGCGCGCGCTATACGATACAAACAAACGCATGTTGAGGCAGTAACGATATGGTAAGTGCTATTGGAAATTAACGAACAATTAGTTCACCCCTATCCATGTTTTATAAACATGGTGCTTGTGCCATCGACAACCATTATTTTCGAGGATTCTTTCGTCCGCTTGCCTCTACCAACTTTTATGCTACTACCTAAAGTACCTCGTGTTCGAGGTACGTCCGATGCATCCGTGCGAGTACTTACGGTCCAATGTATTCGAGCGAGTACTTACGGTCTTCAAGCACTGTACGGAGCGGGGTCTTGCGAAGGGCGTTTCGTCGTGCTTAAAAGCGCGGTGGCACAGAGAGCAAAGCAAGCCATGGCGACTTTGGTGTTGCAGCCTCTTTAAATTTCATGCAAATACAACGGGAGCGAAGAATGCGGCGATTTATATCCCAATAAGGTCTCGTTCACGAAATTTATTCGAAGCCGCGCGGCTTCGTTGTTTATTCATTGAATTGCCGAATCTCTCCCGTGGTATAAGCTGCTTCGATAACGGCTGCGCTTTATCGTAGATTTCTCAAATTGATGATTAGAACAGACTATAGACTACGTAATAATGCAAGGAAATGATATAATTTGATTCAAATAAACAAATATTGAGAACAAATATTGAAAAATGAGAACATTATATATGGTGGCAAACAAAAGTATTTGCAGTGGACGATTAGTAAAGTGATCTTAGAAGGAAATAGTAGCCAAATGGTAGCTGTTTGTACCTGATTTAATTATATATATTATATAAGTTAATATAAATAAAAGTAAGTTACGAGAAAGACATATAAACATTACTTTATAAAGTTTTATTTAGACTATTCTTGAATTAAATATATGCATAATTAGTTTTATAAAGTCTGCATATTATTTTTGTACTAACATTTTGACTGTATTGTTTATTCATCTGTACAATAACATGTA